TTTGGATTTTTTTAAGTTCATGGCTAATTTTACTATAGTTTTATTTCGATTTTGCTTTGGTGGATTTTTTCAAAAATTATATTGGCTCTGTGTTTACAGCATCTATAAGAATATGAAGAGGTAGCTCACATTTTCCAGGTGCTGTTTTAATTAGTATTATAAGGGAAATTGTAAGCTCCAGTGGTATTCAAGAATTTAGAGATTAGAGAAAGGTTCAAGGCATGAGATTGCTCAGGGAGAAGGGTCTATGGTAATTTGGGGGCTACAAATAAACCTAATCGAATTGAGTAGCTGTCAGTAAGAAGCAAGATTTATTGGGCAGTTGACTTTATATATTTTGATCTGATACACAAATTAACCCTCCCCAAATCTATTTAGCAGCTGGTTGTCATTTCCATTAGCTAAAAGCAGCTAGTCTTAAATCTGTTTCAAAGCTCCTGCCAGCACGTCTCGCTGAGCCTGTTTAGCCTTTCAGCTGTGAGACCAAATTCCCAGGTGCCAGTTCAGTGCTCAGGTCTCTAGACCTTGTTATGGGTTGTTGAAATCCTTCTGCCAGCTCTTGAAATGACCCTAGGCAAGTAATTTAATTCAGTCTTTCTGTCACTGAAGGTAGTCAAGAAGGATTTAAGGATTTATATGCAATAAGAAACATGCTTTAGAGTTTCGTCAGTCTAAGCTCTAAAGGTAGAGAAGGTCAGGTGAGGGTTGAATGTTTTCACTTATTCCTGACCATTTCCAGCTCTAGGGGCATGGTAAATTCTTCCATTGATTTTTATGCAGTGATCAGGCTCTCTTAGGTTTTGGTGCCGTATCATCATGAATGCTTCCGTTCTCTTAAGTTGTGGACGTCGTGATTGCTTTATATACTATTCTTATTCTTGTTTGTTAATATTTCTGATTACAGTAGACCTTTACTATTTGTACAAATTTCTATGGATTATTATTTTTTTTTTCAACGTTTATTTATTTTTGGGACAGAGAGAGACAGAGCATGAACGGGCGAGGGGCAGAGAGAGAGGGAGACACAGAATCGGAAACAGGCTCCAGGCTCTGAGCCATCAGCCCAGAGCCCGACGTGGGGCTCGAACTCCCGGACCGCGAGATCGTGACCTGGCTGAAGTCGGACGCTTAACCGACTGCGCCACCCAGGCGCCCCGAAAGTTCTATGGATTATTTTAGGGGAAAGTGGGTTATTAAAGTAATGCTACGTTTGGGTAAATAGAACTGACACCGACTTAGTAAAGTTGTATTAGTTATTGCCCCAAAACTTCATGGCTTCAAATACCACACATTTATTCTAGTTTCTCGGAATCAGGAATTCAGGAGCAGCTTAGCTGGGTGGTTGTGTCTCAAGTATCCTGAGGTCCGCCGTCGAGATGATTTGGGGGCAGCAGTTCCGTGGGCTTGCCTGGAGCTGGGGGATCTGCTTCCAATATGGCTCAGTCATGCGGCTGGTGAAAAGGGGCCTCACTTCCTTGCTGGCTGTTGGCCGGAAATTTCAGTGCCTCACCTTGTTGGCCTTTTCGTAGGGTCTCTAGAGTGTCCTTGTGACAGGGCAGCTGGTTTCTCCAGAGGGAGTGATCCTAGAGAGAGAGCAAGGAGGAGATTATATGCCCTTTACGACCTGGTTTCAGAAGTCGCTTCACTTTTGCCACATTCTCTTTGTTAGAAGCCAGTCACTAAGTACTGTCCACATGCAAGAGGAGTGGAGTTAGGCCTCATCTCTTGAGGGGAAGAGTTTAAAAGAATTTTATGGAGTCTTTTTAAGCCACTGCAATGATAGACGTGGTTATATATTTCGCAAAGGCATGTAATTGGCAACAGCCAAATTTGTACTTATTTCTCTGTTGTTTCAACGGTCTTAGAGTTAAAACAGGTGTTTCTGTTACTCTGTAGATGTTCCTGAAAATTTTCCTGTTCTCCACAATTGTAAATGAGAAATAAAAGTTTACGGGAAAATGCAGTTGGAAGAGGGTAGGACTCTAAGTTCATGCATCTTTATAACCAAAATACTAACAAAAGTAACGATGGGCCGCAGGAGCTAACCCAGGCAGCCCAGGCAGGCTGGAAGTTGAGTTGCCTTAAGGAATTATTAAAAATGCACAGTGACAGAACAGTAGTAATGCTGTCTTGTGGGTGCAGAGACGGTGTATTTACTGTGGGTTTTTCCCTTTGCTGTTGAAAGTTAGAATTCTACCAATCTGGCTCCTTTTGCCTAGAGTAAATCTTTATGAACCAACATAATACAGCATGTTAAAATGACACCAGTCCTCTATTTACAATCATATGAGCTCATTGGTATTAATGAATCACATACTGTAGCAGAACAAACCGTAGTTTCCCTTAAATGAATAAATACTTTGGATCATTTATTTAGTGAAATTCTCTGCTGATAGACGAAACTGAAGTAGACTGCAGCAAACATTGCTGTGGTCAGGTCTCTATCTCAGCTTGAAATACTTGCTTTTGCTGTCTATCTTTCCTCCTGCGTCATGTAAGAAATGCCTTAAACCTGCAGGGAATTAGAGTAACATTTCTAAAGTAAAAGTTTTCACGACCGATCCAACTTTGAATTGGCAGGCATTGGTCACTTGGTGTTGTCAATATTTATTGGAGCATGGGACAGTTGGAATTCCTCCGAAATGAGAAGTTTGAGAGTTGGCAGGGAGAGAGAAAATAATTCCTATGTCATAGAATAAAGAAGTCTGACGCAAAGGAGGGTGCACGTGGCTGATTGCCTAGGTGTAGAGTCTTATTCATCTCCATATTCCCCGGAGCCCTGTTTGGTACACAGCAGGTCCCGAGGGCATGTGTGATCTGGAACACCCAGGGAGGGAGCAGACAACAAGGATATTGAAATTCACTCAGAACAAGACAAGGAGGGGTTTGATTCAGGCTGGGATGTTTAGGGCTTTCCAAGGACAGACTGATCTTACCATTAGGCTCCAAGACTATTCAGGCACTTTGGGAATTTTTCTAACTAGAGAATAAAAAGCCTATCTCTGTTGATGTGTCCATATTCTTCCTCTCTCTCTCTCTTTATATATCTATCTATCTATCTATCTATCTCTGGGATATATAGTCCACTCTATCTGGTGATTTGTTCTGGGACTTTCTGTAGGATTTTTGTGGAGTTGGGAGAATTGAAGGGCTGTCTTTATGTACCCCTGTTGTCTTTTTCATTAATCTCTACTCACAGATGTACATAAATGTGACAGGTTAACATGTGTCCTCGAAGCCATTCTCAGATGGGGCTAAATAAAATGTCTCCTTTGTATTCATTAGTCTGTATGTAGGCTTGTGTGTGTGTGTGTGTGTGTGTGTGTGTGTGTGTGCGCGCGCCCATGCACACACACGTATGCATATTTAGATCAGATCTCTCGTTAGCCTGTGTTACTTTATTACATTTGTGGAGATTGGAGTTTCGAAATCTAGTAATCTTGCGCTTCTTTCCGACAGGAAATGTCTGTCATGTAGAAAGGAGCTCTTAGCCTGGGAGTCTGAGCGTTTTCTTTCTGGGTGTAAATGAACTAGTACAGAAGGGGACAAGCGACTGACTGTGGTCTGATCCATCATTGGCAGCCTTTGGCAAGTCGTGTCTGATGTGAAGTCTCCTGGGCTTCCTATCTCTTTGTGGGGCATTAGCATCTGGTGACTGAACAATTCAGTGGGGCCCTCAGCTCCCTTGCGGGTGGCAGCTGTGTAGTTGTTCGCTGGGCACCAAGTTTAAATAGCCGAAGCACTGTTACACTCCATGCTGGCCCGGCCCCAGCAAAATTATGTAGTGTGCAGTATCTATTTTATAAAACATTCTGATGTACCGGGAGAAAGAGGAAGTGAAATTCAAACCTGCTGGTTTTGTTATTTCTGCCCAAAGGTATGTATTGGAATGGTTCCAACACGCTGGATCTCTTGAGATCTATTTTTGGTGCTGGTGCTCTTTTCGTTTCCTTCTCCAGTAGGTGTTAGACATCTACCAAAACTACTTGGTATTTATGTTAGTACTTAATATTCATAAGAATATAATGTCTCTTGAATATGTTTCTTCTGCTAGCCTTTGGCAACTAGGCAAATTTCCAAGTAAAAGAACACTTCTGGCTTGGGTCCTATGTGAGGACATGTGTCTCTCATTAATTTATTTCTGAGAGTGGGTTTCGGTCCTCTTTGATACTATACATTCAATGTCTACAACTGGCGATGTTTTTCTCCTTGTTTATAACGCCGTGACACGTGAGTCACAGGAATTCTCCCATCTAGTTGATGGGACTTGTGTGCAAGTCATTCTGCCAGATTCATTTCCAGCTTGGAAACAAAGACTCTTAAGATCTTTCCCAGTGCCCTCTTTGTCTCTGAGGCTCAGTGCATCTCCCTGTGTCTCTGTCTTCCTGAGGCACAAGAGGCACCACTCACCAACCTTCATAGAACTGGCATTAAGTCTGTCTTTGAGGACTTAACCATTGCCACCAAGTAGTATTTTCTTATTAGAAAAGTTACTTATTTTCCATCTCCTTAATAGTACGTGTACATTGAGTCAGTGTAGAAGGAAGAATGTCATCAGTTAATTTCATTACAACAGATTAGTTTCATTAAATGCCAAATCTTGAAGGTTGTTTTCCTATCTTGGCCTGTAATGTTTTCTTCCAAGTGTACTGAAATTAACTTGAGCCATTTATAAAAATCTTGAAGTCCCTTTTTTAAATGTAAACAAAAATGGTGGAGGATATAGAAGAAAATAACACTTGGGTTGTAACAGAGGAGTTAAAATGGTCGTTTCCTTGGGTTTTAAGGAAAAAGCTCTTCTTCGCCCAAAATTAAAATGCACGTGTGGAGTAGATGTGGTAGTTCTTACCATAATTGTATTACTGCACATTTCAGAGTCTCTCGATTATAAATTAGGTCGTTGCCCATAATTATTCTCTGTGGTCCAGGTGGTTTATCTGGTATGCCAACGAGTTGAAAACTCATTTCTTTGGACTCAGATGTTTGCGTGTTTGTTTCAGGAAAACCCCACAGCACTGGTGGCTCTGAACGGATTCAGCTCTCAGGAATGTATAACGTCCGTAAAGGCAAAATGCAGTTGCCGGTGAACCGATGGGCCAGACGCCAAGTCATCCTGTGTGGGACCTGCCTGATGGTGTCATCTGTGAAAGACAGCTGGGCCGGAAAGATGCATGTTCTGCCTCTCATTGGTGGAAAAGTAAGTTTAAAATGAACAAAATGCTAACGGGTTCCCCAGTGCTATTAAGCTCACTTTAAGCCATTTCTGTAATACGGGGTCCATGGTTTTCACTCATCTGAGGTCTTACTCAATTCCTGTTCTGCTCCACCAGCGGGCATTGTTGAATGGTGGAGTTGTGGAAAATGGCCACGCATTGGCTCACACGAGGCCCTGGTGACGATCACTTTATTGGTACATGCATCTTATTTACAGACCTGAAACAGAGCAACTAAAAGTCAGTGTTATATTTTAGGCTACAGATGATAAGTTATTCTTTATTAGCAGACATCTCTTGATATCTTGAGTGTATCTTGTGTAGGATAGAATAATGATCCTTAAGTCCAGGGCTTAAGGATCATTCAAGCATTCTTACCAAAGGTTAGACTCTTTCTCTCTTGCATGAATCTTTGATCCGACTTTGCCCTACTTCTCTGTTTATTTTTGTTTAGTGACCAGTGAAGTTAGCATTTTTTAGTTTATCAGTTTAGCCATTCATAATTTTTGAAATTGAAATGTTACCTTGTTTCAGAGAAGAGCTGTGATATGGCTGATAGTTATTCCCAACATTGCTAGCTGCTTTTCTTTGGGCATGTCAATTATTTTATTCCTATCATTTATGAAATAGAACCAAATTGCTTGGGAAAATGTTACATTCTTTTTTTTTGCCATGTCAATTTATTAATTCCCAAGTGTTGGTAGATGTATCATTACCATAATTATATGTTAGTATTTCCTGATTTTTAAATGATAGGATAATCTTTTAATAAATGGGAAGGCAAATTTGGATGAAGAAAAGGGTGTGTGAAAATTGGGGGCATATTAAGCAAATATTTTCTTTACTGTTTTCTTCCCTGAATGGGCATGGGAAAGACGGCAGAACGTGGAGGATATAAATAGAGGGGAAAATAAAACACCACTTTTGTTGAAGTGAACTTTTTAAAATTGGCAAATATTTGATCTGTTTATTCCAGGGATTAGGAATGAATTAGGTAAAATCAGATGTGTGCAGTAGTAAATGCCGTTATTATTCACTTGTTATGTAGCAAATTCATTCTTCATTCATAATTTAAAGTAGTCTCTCCTTATGTAAATAGCCCATGTCAGTTCCCTACCCGCCCCTCTGCTATTAGACAGTCTAATCCTAAGAAGACTAATACTTGATCATTTAAAAAAGATTCTGGCTGCAAGGTACATTTAGATCTATTTCAGTCATCTATTTTGAAGCCATTACTTAACTTTTGTCTGAGCATTGAAGAATTACTGGTGTCTTATTACTGAAGATTTTGTCCTTTGGATTGAATTCTGAAAAATTGGTCATCATTACTACTCCAATAGGTCATCATTAAAAATGCATATTTGATGTTTGATGCCCTGTTAGGTCAACAGTCTGTTTCTTTCTTCTCTATGATGTTAGGTGTTTGCTTAGGCAAATTTAATATAACTATTTATTAAATAACCTCTGTGGGGAAGCCACTTTGCTTGGTGCCCCAGAAATACCAAGATGGATAAGTCATCATCCCTGCCTTTGAATTGCTTATAATTTACTATCCGGAGATGAAGGATGGACACAATAAAATCTGCTCTAAGAGAGATGCAAAAAAGTAGTGCAGAGAGATTACATTTTGTTCTGGGGGAATCAGGGAATTCTGTGATGAAGGAGGTAGCAATTATGGTGGAACTTGAAGGGTGAAAAATCTTTTGACATATGAAGGAGATGGCCACAAAGATTATTGTGCTCAGAGAAGCTGAGGCAGGAAAGTAGTGGAATGTTCAGATAAGGTTCAGAAGATCAAGTTATAATTAGCATTTTCATTTAGGGCTAGAGACTTGTCTTGTTTCCCAGGCCTATTATTGGATGGACTTCTACCATTGAATGAATTGAAATGGCTTCCTTTTCTCACAGACAAACCTTGTAAAACCTGTTTTGTACTATGCCTTTAAAAATAATTGAGTATGTCGAAAAACAGTCTTTTAAAACCTGTTGACCGAGTTAGGGAAAAATAACTCACTCTTTGCCGTCTGAGTTTTCATTAATGTGTATCTGTTCCTTTTTTCATTCTGCTCATTCCGTTTTATTCTGTTGAAGGAAAAGCTAAGAGTAAATGGAAGGTTTTTGGTTTTGTTTTTAAAATATTTATGAAGCAGAGCTAGAAATGAAGTGTGAGATAGATTGGCCATAACCTAGCAATAATTGCTGATAAATCAAACACAACACTACTTGAGCATGATCATTAATTCACATTTTCAAATGTCGAATTCCAAATATAAAGCTAAATGAAGCACTCTTAAAATTTCATTGTTGGGGGAAATTATTTAATAGATAAGTTTCTATTCATTGTGCAAGTATTACATTATATTTAATTTATCCTGTAGAATTTAACATCGGTTTTTAGGTGCAACATTTTAATATTTTACTTAATATTTGTTAAATTATGATGCATAAAAAATTGAATAACCATTTACCTACTGCTATTCAGTTTAGGAATCACAGCCATATAAACACCAATGTTTTCTACCTGTGTTCTCTTTACATCTGTCCCACTGGTATCCCCCAACCCCAAAGGTATCCACCCATTGTCCTAGAATATGTATTCATCATTTTCTTTTTTAAAATAAGTTTTATGATGTAACTATGTTTTGCTTGTTTTTGATCTGAATAAAATTGGTATCATACCATGTGTGGGCTTCTGTGATTGAATTTTTTCACTCAGTATTATGCTTCATAATAAGATTCTATGTTGCTTTCTGTATGTGGTTTTCATTTCTGTATAATGTTTCCCTCTGTAAGTGTTCTAAATTCTCATAATTTCTTAAGTAATTTTCCTGTTGGACATTGGGTTGCTTCTAGTTTTTTGTCATTATAAATGATTCTGCCAAAATGGGCTTATGTTGATATGCCTCCTGGTACACAAGTAGTTTTTCTAGGACAGTAGTTCTCAGAGGTGCTGTGCCCAAAGGGGACATTGGATAATATGTGCAAGTGTTTTGATTGTGAAGTGATTGAACAGTCAACGTATCAGTTGATGTAAGCTAAATTATGCTATGGTGACAAATCCCCCCCAGATGTCAGTGACTTAAATTTTCTCATTCCACTAAACGTCCACTGTAGATTGGTAGAGATTTCTTTTTTCACATAACTGTACAGGGACCCAGCCTGCTCTGCTCCCTTATAACATTTGGAACATGCAACCTTCCTTTGGTGCTTAAGCAAGGGAAGAGGTAACTGGAGAGTCATAAACTGGCTTTTGTATATTTGGATGCAGAAGTGACACACGCCACTTCTGCTCGTGGCTCATTGGCCAGAACTAGTCACATGACTTCACCTTGATTGCGGAAAGTCTGGGAAACGTGGAAAGTAGAGTGTTTGGTTAATACCAGTATATTTGGTGCAAGGGGACACTATCGGCCTTTACAGGGCAGGGGCTCAGTGAAAAAAAAGTCACACGAAGTATTAGACAGTCCTGCACAATGTACAATGAACTGTTTAATTCAAAATCCTTAAAATAAATTACTTCCTTGAGAAATACTGCTCTTAGATACACATTTAGGGGTGCAGTTACTGGACTATAGGGCATATGCACATGCTACAGGATGATGTCAAATCGCTTTCCAAAGTTGTTGCACCATTTTACACTCACATCAGTGTACAAGTGTTCCTGTTTCTCTGCATCTTCACCAAACTTCATGGAGGTATAATCGACAGACATTAAACTGCACATTTTGATGATAATTTGATAACAGTATAGCTAGCTAAACACACCCATTCAACCATCACCACAGTGAATAAGAATGATCATATCACCCCTGAAAGTTTCCTTGTGCTCTTTTTATCCCCCTTCCTTCCACTCTTTTCCTCATCCTCCAGAAATCACTGGTCTAATTTCTGTCTATATTGATTAGCTTAAATCGCATTAAAAAATATTTTGTCTTTAGTGTATAGAAATACAGCTGACTTTTGAGTATTGATTTTATATTCAGCCACTTGGCTAAATTTTCTTATTTATTCTAATATACTGTCTATAGAATCTTTGGAGTGTACTATGTAGCTAATCATGTAATATTAAAATAATGACAATTTTTTTCTTCTTTAATACATATTTGTGTCTTACTGTAATGGCCAGGACTCTAGTATAGTATTGAGTAGAAACAGTAGATACTTGTCTTCTCAGTGATCTTAAAGAGAGTGGTATATCATCATTAACACTGAAGTTTGCCTTAGATGTTTGATAAATACACTTTGTCAGCTTGAGTTGTTATTTGTGTTCTTAGTTTGCTGGGAGTTTTTATCATGAATGATGAATGGGTGGTGAATGTTACCAAATGCTTTTTCTGCAGCTGTGGGGATGATCATATGGTCTTCTTCTTCTTCTCCTCCTCCTCCTTCTTTTTTTAATGTTTATTTATTTTATTTTTGAGAGAGACAGAGACAGGATGCTAGTGGGTTAGGGGCAGAGAGAGAGGGAGACACAGAGTCCAAAGCTGGCTCTAGGCTCCGAGCTGTCAGCACAGAGCCCAACATGGGGCTCGAACCCACGAGCTGTGAGATCATGATCTGAGCCAAAGTCGGACACTTAACCAACTGAGCCACCCAGGCGCCCCTGGTTTTCTTCTTTAATTTGTTAATGTGATTAACGATTTTATAGTTCCAATAATGTTAAATCATCTTGCCTTTCCTGAGGTAAATCCAATTTGTTTTTGATATAGTTTTTTTCCTTCTGTATTTCTGGATTGTGGTGCAACATTTTGTTCAAGATAAGTGTTCATAACTGAGACTCGCCTATAATTTTTTTTTTTTTCTGTTACTACTCTGATCTGTTTTTGGTTATAGAATAATTTGTGGTATTTTTCTTCATTTTTTGTTGGGTGGATGAGTTTGCACAAATTTGGAATGTTCTCTTTCTTGGAACTTTGATAGAATTCATCTATAAAATGATATGGGCCTGATATTTCTTGAGAAAAAGTTTTATTCCGTTTCTTAAATGATTATAGGACTATGTAGGCCTTCGGTTTTTTTTCTTTCTTGATTTAGTGTTAGTAAAATATATTTTTCTGAGATTTTGCCACAGAATTGTTTATAATGTTCTTTTTAATCTCTGCTTAATCTGTAGGCCTATCTCTCTTTTCATTATTAATGTTATTTATGTCTGTCTTCAGCTGATATCATGAACTAATATCTGTTGACATTTACTTTGTTATTAGCCTTTTCAAAGAACCAGTATTTTGTTAATGTTCATGTTCTCTGTTGTATATTTGGTTTTCATGACATTAATTTCTGCTTTTTGATGTCACCTTTATTCTGGCTTGAATTTATTCAGTTTTTGGTTTGGTATTTTTCCCCCTAAGTTCTTGAGACATGTATCAATCAAAATAATTTTCTGCCTTCTTTTCTAATGTGAGTATTTAAAATTATAAATGTTCCCCTATGTACTGCTTTTGTTGCATTCCATAAATTTTGATATGTATTTTTTTAATGGTTCAGTTCTAAGACTATCTAAATTTCTATTATTATTATTATTTTTTTTTTTTTTACTTAGTTGTTTGGAAGTGTGTTACTAGTTTTCTAAGTACACTTGGATTTTATTTTATTTTTTCAAATTTTTTTTTAATGTCTTTATTTATTTTTGAGACAGAGAAAGACAGAGCATGAGGAGGGGAGGGGCAGAGAGAGAGGGAGACACAGAATCCAAAGCAGGCTCCAGGCTCTGAGCTGTCAGCACAGAGCCCGATGCAGGGCCCGAACTCACAGACTGTGAGATCATGACCTGAGCTGAAGTTGGACGCTTAACCGACTGAGCCACCCAGGCACCCCAGTACACTTGGATTTTAAATGGAATTTTTATTATTGACATCTAACTTTTAATTGCCTTTTGGTCCCAGAACATAGTCTGTGATACTGATCTTTTTGAAAATTCTTTACTCTTTATGACTTGTGATCAGTTTTGTAACTGCAGCATAGGAGCTTGTGGAATACCATGTTACTTTATTGTCTGGACTTTTCCTGCTTAGGAAGCATTTACTGGGAGTGGAAGTTTGATTTGACTGTATCGCTGCCTTACTAGGACTTGAAAGTTCTTATGGTAGAGTTTTCTTTCATGTTAAACTCAATTTCACGTTAAATTTTTAAAAACTTATTTAACATGCTTGAAGACCTCTTTTTAAAAAAGGTTGTAATGCAGACTAATACAAAAGTCGCCCAAAGTAAAAATCCTTCTGCAGTAAAAATCCTTAAGTCTTAAGTAAAACTCCTCCCAAAGGAAGGAAGAACCCCAGCAGCCTATTGTGAGGATATAGAAAGATAAGAAAGGGCGTCTGTTCCAATCTAAACAGGAAGAAGAGAATTTCACTACTGTGGGGAAATCTAAAGAAGATAAAACTCCCCATTTTCGATTTCCTTGTAATTCAAGTTGGTTAGTCAGACTCAGGAACTTACGTGTTTTAAGTATTAAGAGGAACATATATAGGGAAAGATGCAAATCTGTGTAGGCTCACTGACCTAAGGTATGGTTAATGAACTATGTAAATGGTCTGCTTTCCTGATGTGTTTTTGTCTCTGTTTTTATAGGTAGAAGAAGTGAAAAAGCACCAGCACTGTTTAGCATTTAGCTCCTCTGGACCCCAAAGCCAGACTTACTACATTTGTTTTGATACATTCACAGAGTATTTAAGGTGGCTTCGACAAGTCTCCAAGGTAAGTGCTTACCCAAGAATATTTTTCAGCTTCTAGCTGGCTAGAGTTGCTTTCTGCTTTACCCAGTTCCAGAATATAGTATTATACTTAATAATTTTTTTAGTTTTCTGAAAGCTCATTTTGGCTGAAAAGTAGCCAACTGAAAAATTTTTAAATTGTGCTTCATTTGCTGGGTTCTGTTTATCCCTAAAAAAAAAAGAACTCAGTGGGTAGACTGGCATTACTATCTTAATGTTATAGATAAAGAACGTAGACTAAGAATATTTAAGGGACTGGCCCAGGGTCGGACAACTGCAAAACCACAAAATACCCAGAGAAGTGTTACAAATTTCCCCTCTTCCTCTATTTTTTCATTTAAGTGGTTTAATCTGTGCCACTCCCTTTCACCTGTCCAACTTCTGCCTTTCAAATGGCTTAATTTCTTTTCACATCGTCATTTTCTTGACTATTTAATAGTCTCCTACTTAAATGAGATCACCATGACCTATGAAACAGTATACGTGTGTGTGTGTGTGTGTGTGTGTGTGTGTGTGTGTGTGTGTGTGTGTGTGTGTGTGTGTGTGTAATGGAAGCCAGAATAAATGCTGGTATTTCAGGTACTCTGTGTGAAGATGATTTTACATCACATTTATAGAATTATGTGTAAAATGGGTGGGTTGCAGTACTTTGTGCCTTGGTTTTGGGTGTGTTTATGAAATGATGAAACCTCTCTTGGGTGTAGAAACATTACACTGGAATTTGCTTTCATATTTTTTAATTTATAATCCAGTTTGCTATCCAAGTTCAGTGTGATCCCAACTGCTGTATGATGTAATTGTTTATCAAGTGAATGAATAAGGAATAACTTTGTCAACAGTTAACAGAAAATTCGAGAATAATGTCTAGAAAGACTTCTTGAAATACTGGCTACATGTGAATTGTCAAGTAAAAGCTATGTTCTCTGATGACACAATGCACTTAAGAACATTAGTGCTTCCTCCTTTTAGAGAAGCAATGGGCAGAATGTAGATTGATAGGGACTCAGAAGATTCTCCCAACCTGGTTGGCCAGTGGAGGTTCTAATTGCATAGGGCAGCATCCTGCTAGAGAAAATGGGAGGGATGACGCTTCTTTAGGCATGCCTGTAGAATTAATGTGCTATTAGAGGCAATGAATACATCTGCATGGTCGTTTTAAAATTACTTTTGTGGTTGCAAATGTGAGGAGACAAATATTAAATAATACTGTGCTTTTATATTTAAATGGTTACATGGGTTCAAAGCAGTAAGTCAACAGCCTACACTCTGTTTTATTCGGAATAAAATGCCAAACTGTGGTCAAAGTACATTGAATTTTTTTTTCTGTATGGAGATGTTGATTGATTGACGTGTTTATTTTAAATGTTTATTTTTGAGAGAGAGTCCATGTGCACGTGTGGGGGAGGGGCGGCGTGGAGACAGGGGGTCGAGAGCAGGCTCTGTGCTGGCAGCAGTGAGCGAGATGTGGGGCTTGAACTCCTGAACTGTGAGATTGTGACCTGAGCCACCCAGGCACCCTGAGATGTTGATTTTTTTAAATAAACTTTTTATTTTGGAATAATTTTCTATTTAGCGAAAAGTTATACAGATAGTACAGAGAGTTTCCATGTAGCCCCACCCAGTTTCCCAGAGATCTTACGTTACCATGACAGAGTTGTCAAAACTAAGAAACCAACATTAACACGTTACTCTGATCTAAACTTCAAAATTTATTTGGATTTTACTGGCTTTTTCATTAGTGTTTTTTACTAGCATTTTTCATTCTCCTGTCCCAGGATTTAGTCCAGAGTACCACATTTCATTTGATTGTCATGTCTCCTTTTTCTCCTCTGGTCTGTGGCAGTTTTTCAGTCTTTCTGTGGTTCATATGACCTTGACACTTTTGAAGAGTGTTGGTCAGGTATTTCCTATAATGTCCTATGTGGAGATGCTTTGACCTTTTAAACCAAATGCAGTGTCATAGTCAGCTGCTTTACATTCTTTTTGGAATAATTCAGAGGTATAAATTCTTAAACATGGATAAGGATGTGAGTAAACAGGTAAATTATCAAGGTTACCAATGACAATTGTTTTGATTAAAACAATAATAACAAAAAGATTAATAGGTATTGAGTTTAATTAACATCCACCCAACTGATAAGTCGCTGTTCTAAAGATAGCCAGCATTTATGAAGCACCTTCTGTATGTCAAGTATGTGTTTTATGCACTGGGATATATAGCAAAGAACAAGTCTAATTCCTCTCTCTCGGTAGCACTTACATTGGGGAAACAGATGATAAATAAGCAAACAGACGAGAAAGAAAACATCAAATAATCACAGAGCTATAATACAGGTTATAATGACAAAGAATGATGGAGGAAGAATAACTTTTTTTTAATGTTTATTTATTTATTTTGAGAGTGTGTGCACATGAGCAGGAGAGGGGCAGAGAGAGAGGGAGAGAGAGAATCCCGAGCAGGCTCCATGCTGTTAACTCAGAGCCCCACGCAGGACTTGATCCCATGAACTGTGAGACCATGACCTGAGCCGAAATCAAGAGTCGGACTCTTACTAAGCCTCCAAGGCGCCCCTAAACTGGAACTTCAATGAAAAGAAGCGTCCAATTATTTGAAGACCTGGTGGGAGGAGCTTTCCAGGTAGTGGGAAAAGATGGTGTGAAAGTCCTAAGACTAGAAAAAGGGACATGCAGTCAGGGAAGGCAGGGATTTTAGGTTACAAAACAGGGGAAAGACTCTGGATTATACGATTGGCATAATGGCAAGCCATTTGAAAGACTTCTCTTTCAGAAAGTTACATAATCTGACACTGGCTGCTGTGTAGTGAATGGATTATGGAGGACAAGAAGAGAAGCAAGGGGTGGGGTCTGACTGGCAGGAGGCTCTTGTGGTATTTTCCAGGTAAGAGGTGAAAGGAGAGATGGAGAGAAGTGGATAGATGCATTTTGGGATGTGTTTTGAAGATTGAGAGACAGGATTACTGATAATTACATACAAAGCATGAGGAAAATTTTGGAATAAAAAAATGCCTTCTGGGTTCTTGATTTGAATTGCTAGGTAAATTGTAGACTCATTCAGAAACCACAACACTGATTAGACTATATATGCACCTTTAAAGCAATGGCAAAATACAGTTTTTAACCTCAAAGAGTTTGTTTCTAGAGAGACAGCAGAGAAGTGAAATGAAAGAGGGTAGATTATGAAATGCCTCTTAAAAGAGGTGTGGAAATTGTTGATTTCTAACTGGCAATTGTAAATGTCATATGTTTGACTCTTTGCTGTTGCTGGGTGGCTGACATGCCATCTTCATAGGATGGTGTATTTGTAATAAGGTACTGTCTCTGATTATCCAAACCATGAATTGATGCATCCATCAGGACTGTCACAGGAGAGGTGGGGGTTGGGGGAGAATTGTGGCCCAGGAAACATGATGGTGGCAGGGTGAAGTGTTGGCGTGAGTTTTCCTCTTCCACTGATTACTACATTGCCATTAGAAAGTGTTTGATATGTGGGGCGCCTGGGTGGCGCAGTCGGTTAAGCGTCCGACTTCAGCCAGGTCACGATCTCACGGTCCGTGAGTTCGAGCCCCGCGTCGGGCTCTGGGCTGATGGCTCAGAGCCTGGAGCCTGTTTCTGATTCTGTGTCTCCCTCTCTCTCTGCCCCTCCCCCATTCATGCTCTGTCTCTCTCTGTCCCAAAAAATAAATAAACGTTGAAAAAAAAAAAATTAAAAAAAAAAAAAAGAAAGTGTTTGATATGTAATGTAGCTACAAGAGAAGATAATTCACAAGCATATCCATCCACAACAAGACTCAGCTTATATCTCACACAAGTGTCTGTGAGTGCTTCCAGGAGGGGGGGGCGGGGGAATTTAATTACCCTAAGTTACTAGTGTTAACGAGTAGTTAACTAGTAGTTAACTGGTATTAACTAGAATGAATTTGAATTAGAACCTTAACCTCCTTTCCTTTCAGAAAGGCTCTCAATGTTTGGAGAAGTCAAATGGTGTGGGAGTAAGGAATTTAGGTTTCAAACTAAGGTAGATACGGGTTCCACCATTCACGGACTCTGTCACTGTAAGTTTCTAAATTTTAGGCTTTCTCATTTGATAAAGGGATTAGCAATAGTACCTCCTAGGGCTTACGTCAGAGGTGGACATGATAGACTTATACCGACACATAGTAATTCTAACTCTGTGTGTGTGTGTATGAGAGTGACTGACTAAATACAGAAATAAAATAATTTTATGGCCATTATTCCTGCTGTTACCATTGATTGGCCAATCTTTTTTTTTTTTTTAAAGTTTATTTATTGATTTTTATGAGAGGGTGAGTGAGCAAGCAGGGGAGGGGCAGAGAGAGAGAATCCCAAGCAGGCCCCATGCTGTCAGCACTGAGCACAACATGGGTCTCGAACCCACGAACTGCGAGATGATGACACAAGCTGAGACCAAGAGTTGGGCGGTTAACTCACTGAGCCACCCAGGTGCCCCCAGACAATCTTTTTATTTAAAAAAAAAATTTTTTTTTAATGTTTATTTTTGAGAGAGAGAGACAGAGTGTGAGTGGGGGAGGCGCAGAGAGAGAGGGACACACAGAATCCGAAGCAGGCTCCAGGCTCCGAGCTGTCGGCACAGAGCCCAACGTGGGGCTCAGATTCACAAACTGCGAGATCATGACCTGAGCCGAAGTTGAACGCTTAACTAACTGAACCACCCAGGCGCCCCCAGACAATCTTTTTAAAGTATTACTTGTTTTTATGTATATTTTAAGGAGATCAAGACACACATATGCTTGATTTATCTGAACAAAGGACCTTCTGCTGTTCTTGACAACCACAGGAGCCTTTTGGGGTTAACACAATTGAGGATGGCAGACATCGGAAAGAAAGATTTCTTCCTGAAAAGTCAGGGGTCAGGGACAAAGGGCAGAACATGTTAGTAAATGCAGATTTTAGATACAATGTCTTTCCTTTCTCTAGTCTTAC